TAACCCGAGTCTGCACTAAAAAAACTTTATTTTTAGCCTTGTTTTTGTAATTTTTGTTCTTATTTCATACTCTCAATCACATCAGGATTCTCGACATTTGTCAGTTTTTAAGTTAGACCCGGATATCCCTTTAGACCAACCAAATCACTGCTAGATTCTGTTCTGTAAAACAATTTTATCTCACTTCGACTCCTTCATCAAATTGTAGTCCTGGACGTGTAAATAAATTTGGGCTTTTGAATTGCTTGATTTTTATATCAGAAGCTCAAAATATTCTCGTTTGAATATCTCATGTGAAAGCAGGGATTCCTGCCATGAGAAGGATTTTGCTCGAGTTTGCAGGGACACAATCGCAAGATGCTTAAAGTTTGAAGACCAATTAAAGGCCAATTTGAAGCTCTTTTTTGGACCAAGGACCAAATAGAAAAGGTGCTAAAATAAAAAAGCTGATTGAAGATAAAATTAGTAGGAAGAAATTGGAGAACTACATTTTTTTTCTGCAACAGCTATCACCAACAGTAGCTGTGTTTTCTTCTCTACACTGGGAACAAGAACCAGCAGGGGTGTGGTAATCACCAGTTGCAATTCCTCAGCCACTTTGAGAAATAATAAGCAAGAGTAATAGGTCGGATCTTCCTTCATAAGCAGCGTCCAGTCGTCTCAACGCCTTTGCCCGTTTTAGCGCCAAGTTTCCATGCATTCTTTTCACTTTGCATTAATTTAATTACATAGCTACTGTGCATGCCTTTTGTGTTTATTGTTCAACTGAATTATAATTCACTTGAACAGTAGCTGAGTTTTTTTTTTTTTAGCCGGGTCACTTGCCAGCCGGATCTACTGGTTTCATCCTTTTTTTTTTCTCCTAAAAAAGAAAGAAAGAGAGATTGATGATTTTCTAGCATATTTATTTTTTGAAAAATGTGTTTTCGCATGGATTTCTTAAACACAACGAAAATTGTTTTCTTGCATTTCTGGATTTTACAACATGTTTGTAAAATTCCAAAGGGTGTTGGCCAATATTCCAAAAAATATAAAAATCTTATTTTGGGGAGAATTTATCTATTATTTACCACTAATGTTTGGATGAAGAAATCCTTAAAGGATGAACATCCAAAATATTATTGGGAATAATTTGTTATTATTCACTGTTAATATTTGGATAAAGAAACCCGGAGTGGTAAATATCCAAGATAATTTTCTAGGAATAATAAATCCGCACACATCCTTGAAAGAAGCCTTGATTATAATCGAGGACATTTCAATTTTTTTTTTCACGGTTTACGAGCCATGAGAGTACAAAACACTAAGGCAAAAATAGGCGTTTAAAGCACCTAGATTTCTAAATTTTTGTCCCTCCTCCTTGTGATTTACGAGTCGCAAACTCTTGAAATAGCAAGGGAAAAATGAGCTTTTAAAGCACATTAAATCTCCTTGGATTTCTTTATTAATAAATTTAGTTAGAATTAAACCGAGAAAAACTAATGGGGTTAGAAAACACCAACACCATTGCAATTATAAGACAAACCAAACATCAAGCAGCTTATCTTAGGTAGGGCGTACTAGGGGTGCTAACACCTTCCCTTTACGCAACCAGTCCCTTGCCTTAAAATCTCTGAAAGACCAGTTAGGTTTTCTAAAGACCATAATACTAGGTGGGGACTCCCTTTTACACAAATAATAAAACTAAAAGACCCTGAAATCAATCGATGGTCGGCGCGACGCCGCGCTCCGCTCGCGAGGGTGCGATAGGATGGCGACTCCATTAGGGAATTTAGGACTAAGCTTGATATTTTTTTTTTCTTATGCTATGTGTCTTTTTTTTTTTTTACTATGAATGATATTTTGTTTAAAAGCTTTAGCATGCATCTTCACATTCTATCATACATGGTGTAGTTATGCATGATCACTTTTTTTTTTTTCGGAAACACACAGTAAATTTTAAGTTAAGTAGGGGACCAGTAGCTTGCCTTATGACTTGAGTTAAGGTTTAAGTTTGTGTAAATCCCAACTCTTTACTGAGCGTTTAGACTGATAGTGATTGGTACATGTGTCATCCCACTATTTGTTGAACCCCTATATTGCCTTTACAAGAGCGATCACTAGGACATCAAGAAATCCTTTTTTAGAGACCAAGTAGTAAACCTACCATATGTCTCATGTAAAAGAACTAAAACCTATCCTTAGAGTGTATGCTCTATAATATCTTTTGTATCAAAACAAGTCTAACCCTAAGGCATCTTGAATTACAGGACTTGTGAATGAAATGGCCACCATTACTAAATTTTCCATCATAGAATATGGAAAAAATTTTGAACTGTTACAATTGACTGAAGAAGACTACCTCAAAAGCAATGCTATAAAGCTATCACCAATTAAAAACCTGAATTGCATTATGAATGAGGTGAACAAGTTAACGACTCATTTTTAAAATGTGGATAAGGAAGCATTTTTTTAGGAAATATAGGCGTTTGGTAGAACTTGCAAGAGTAGAAGTTTTAAACTAAGCTGTGAGAGTCTTATTTCATTTTTTAGGATCCAAACTACTATTGTTTTTCTTTTAAAAGCATAGATCGATATCCCACTATAGAGAAATATGGAATGTTGATTGAGTTTCTAAACAATTTATATAGGATTTATTTCCCTTTGAAATTTTATAAGATCATCCTCGAACTATCAAAATTGCTTAGAATCGCCAATGTGGAAAAGTTTTTGGAAAAGAATGCTATCGATCTGAAATGAAGGATGCTATAAATTAAATTGGAAAAAAGTCAGGATTAGAAAACGAGAGATTGATTGTCTTGGGCATATTTGACCTTGTGTTGTTTCCAAGTCAAATGGGTGTAATGAGTTTAGAGGCCGCCGCTACTTATGTAGAGTATGAGAATACACAAATCAATCTAGTGGTTGCTATTTTAGCTAAAACTATCTTGACACTTAACCATTGTAGGAAGACCGAAAAACAAATAATGAAATGCTACATATAGTTGTTATATATCTAGATGGTTAGTCATATCAAAACAAAAAACCTGTCTTCAATAATTTTTGGTGGTTCACTAAAAAAACCCTTGAAATTAATAAAAGAAAAAGAATGGAGAGATCTAAACAACCAAGATTTAAAGTGTCATTTTATAAAACTTAAATATGTTATTTAATGAATAAATAGATATATTTATAATTTGTATTAATTTCACATTTTTCTAATATTAAAATAGGAGGTCATTTTATTAAAAAAAACAAATCTGCCCCATCAGCCCTCTACATGGATCCGGCCTTGCCCCTGGTCATAGGTGTATTTTAATAAAAATAACTTTTAATATAAATCCAAAATTTATTTGTATATCCAAAAGAAAAATTTAGTTATAGTTTATTTTATTAATTTTAAATCATATTATATTCATTATTTCAAACAAAAACAAAATGATTTTTATTATTTTTTCTTGAATATTTTTTTTAAAGTATTGTCAAAACTTGTTATGAAAAATAAATTTTGATTTTTAAATTAAAATTAAATACTAAATTATTGGTTGACAAGCTTCTCAACATGGGTTAAATAAAAAAAATTAAACATAACAAAGAACTTTATAAATATTGTTAACGTATTTTCTAGCAACAACAAAATATTTTATTATCAACTCAAAATTTATATCCCTATTAATTATCAAAATTCTTTTTAATATTTATTGGTATATATAATCCATCTAATTCAACATAGCATTTTAATTGTGAACTCAAAATACTTTTCTTTGTATTATCAATACTTGTGTTAGGGATACTTTTTAAAATTAATTTAAACAAGATAACAATATAATAATTCTGGTGTGAGTGTTTCAAAAAACATAATAACAATCCAGCACATTATCATGAAAAACTTTTTTACAGTGTGAATTGAACATAGTCTAACGGGTCAGCTTAGAGACCTCTCATCCCAGCTCCTTGCTTCCCTTGTGTTTTAAATTAAACCGTGTATGAATAAAATTAATGTGATTTAGTGAATTTTACAAGTTAAAAGATTAACTAAATAAATCGAGCCAAAACCAGGTTAATTTTCAAAAATTAAGATGTTAATGTATTTTTATATTAAATATCAACGTGAGTCAATTCAATAATTTTATTTCTTAAACTAGTTTTTAGAACCTCACTGGAAAATCACTGAATAAATTAATAATGAAAGAATAAATTAGGATGGGCTATATAAAAAAAGCAATGACTAATATTATAAAAAGAAGAAGTTATAATCTTATTAGAAAGCAAAATAAAAACTAAATGGTGTTTAATAAAATAATACCCACAATATATTCTGAATTAATATAATAATTTAATATACAAACATAGCTATTATATTTTAAATTAATTAAATTTACAGAAACTAACTTTAAATTGAAAAATAAAATAAAGGGAAGAACAGGCCAGGTGCCCAGCAAGCCTAGCCCATTAAAAATGAAAATAGGCATTTAGGGTTGACAAGACATGTAGCGTTTCGGAAAGCAACAAGAAGGAATCAATTTTCATGGGTTAGGAGGCTGTGCCTACATATCTCTCTTCCCTTCCAATATTTGATGGCCATGAAGAAAAAAACCTAAACCAATAAAGTGAAACCACAAAAAATATAAACAAATTAAATATAATCATGTAAAAAAAAAGCAGCTTATTAAAAAATGTAAATTACTTGTTTCTCCCACTTCAATATAATTTTTTTTAATTAAAATACATATAATAAAAAGAAATTATATTTATGCTATTCAAAATGTTATTTTATTAATTTAGTTCTTCGAAATAGCAAAGCACCGTTACCTCCTTAAGCAAGATCCTTGTGAACTGATAAACGATTAAGCACCACTTCAACAATCAATGTATCATTGACAATAAAGTTGTTTGATGGATTCTTGATATCAGACAATGATATGAATCTCACCAGACCCCAATTATTCTCAGATGCGCTGAACCACTTATGAACTGCCCAGAAAAATGGAAGATTAGTGACTGAAATAGGAACATATTGGTCCCTATAAAAAGTAAAATAAATAAGCAAACTTGATTATACAAGAAGTATAAAGCAATTTTCATTTTTACTTAATTGTGTGCTTGAGAAGAAAAGGATTTGAAACCTTCCAAGAGCGAGATGGCAGTGATTTCATTGGAAGTGGTAACAAAATGTTCCCGTCTCCTTGCATCTATCTCTCAATTTGCAAGTCTCAATCCATAGAAACACGACTCTTTTTTATCCCAAGCCAATGTATCATTACTAGTAAAATCCCCTGCAGTTGCACTGTTGATGCCTAGTTGTATAGAAAAGCTAGATTTTTCTTTTTTTGGGCTGATATAATGAACCAGATGGAAATAACTATCTCTCATCCAAAACATGAAGGAAAAAGAATTTCAGACTCCACAACCAAGTGTTCAAGGTACTATAATTTCAGTCTCTACAACCAATTGTTCTAGTAAAGACTGACTGCGGGGTAGGGATAATAGGAAGAAAGGAATATGACGTGAACTCACTGGTTTCCTCATGGTGTTCGCTCTGGACTTGATCCTTAATGCGCAGTGTGAATTCCGCAAACAGTTTCCATCCAGTATGAGATTTGGTGCAATAATCCAGTTCCAAAAATAAAGACAAGTATTTGCCCCTTTGCTTTATATGTCCATTCGGAAGGAGCTGTAACTTCCTGAAATCAGAAGGAAGCAAAACATGAATCTAGATATTCAGGTTCCTGAATTGTCACCAGAAAAAAAATGTCCAAGGTTTATAATTTATAGCATATACCATTCATGTCCTCCAGCCAAATAAACTTGAGAGTAATAAAATTCTTCTGTCAATCCAGAGAAGTATTGAACCTCCCAAGTAAAAGTACCATCTGAAGGATCCTTAATCATGGAAAAACATTCCCCTTTACCTTCACTTTTGATAACAAAAACCTCCGCTCCAAATACACAGGAATCACCAATCAAGTAACCATTTGATGCATTGTTAAAAATACTTAATGGAAGCATCTGGGGAAACCCCCATTTATTCTTTATGGCACAGAATCGCCTCAATCTCCCATCTAACATCAATAAAAGAGTAACCTGAATCAAATGGACATTCTACTAGAGAAAATTCTCAGCATACATAAAAAGGGCATACCTCCAAATGTCAAGTATTTGTCCAGAAGTTGATCATACACAAACAACTTGAAGATGACATTGATTTCCCAACCAGGAGGGAAACCAGTGGTATCTGCCATTACCAAATACAGAGATATGTAGCCATCTCCATTCCTGCTCTTGTCTCCATTAGGGTACAGAACCAATTTCCTACGAACAATAAACAAAGCATAAGTGACTGAGAAGGCACAACTAGCATCATTGGTCGCGACAAACACATTGACTACATTTATATGAATCTCGGGGAAGGCTATCCATATCAAAGATGGCTGCAATTATATGAGAATCCTGGCTTCACAAAATTATCATGGTTTTATGATGAGGCACACCCTGACAACACATTAGGAGACCTAAAAGTCTTAATAAACTACATTACTGGAGATACCCTCTCCTTCCCTAAATCCCAGCTTTCATTTTAGGTGTATGAACGACACTCAATTGCAAATCACTTTGTACAACATCATGTGACATTACCAGCTAGACTAGTTAGCACGCTGTGCTCACACTATTTTGTTTTCTGTTTAATGCTCCATGAAACACCAATCATGGAATAGCTCTCCTGCATCCTAAACCCCCCCACCCTTTTTCCTTACTAGGTTTTAAGCCGAGACCTCTAAGAGGAAATCCCATGTGTCAGCAGTTGGGGTTTACCCCTTGGGGGGCTAAGTCTCACACTTTGATACATAGATGGAGTCTTTTTCTTGAAAATTACAGTACCACTCCACCTTATAAAAAGAAAAACAAAAGTTAATACGTTGTAACTCACCACTTGTAGCCGCTGGCTTCAAATTCACGAGATTCATATTGTTCCAGGTAAGAATTAGCAACCATATCGGAAAGCAACGAGAAGGAATCAATTTTCATGGAGTAGTGGGCTGGTGCTACATGTCTCTCTTCCCTTACAGTATCTGTATAAGCCATGAATATGGCACAAGAAATCGTGCACTTAACGAAAAAAATCAAGAAACAACAAACTTGTTCAAGATGGTTATCGTAACCTACCAAGAGCGACCTTCGCCATGGCTCCTTTTTCTTCTTCCTTAAGTTCCTTTTTCATCATTTCACGTCCCGGCATAGAAAGACAGAGGTTGAGTGTCCCGTTTATAAACACCTCGAATTCTCATTTATTGAAAAAAAAAGAAAAAAAAAAAGGATTTGGGGGGCCGGATGCCTCACTGCTTTCCATGTTTAAAGCAATTCAAGGTACTTTTTGTGAATGGAGGAATAGGATATGGAGCTGTCACCAACAAAAAACTACTGTACCACGTCTCAAATCCAATTTCTTTGGCTGGAGCAAGAGCACATTTGTTTTTACTTTTTAAAAATATTTTTTGAAAATATTTTTTTATTTTAAATTATCATCCATCACAAAACAACATAAAACAAATGCTTAACCATCTAGGTGGCCAAGTGGTAAAGACTTGGAACTAAAGGGTTTGCTCCCTCTGTGGTCTCAGGTTCGAATCCTTGGTTGCTCATATGATGACCACTGGAGGCTTACATGATCGTTAACTTCAGGGCCCGTGGGATTAGTCGTGGTGCGCGCAAGCTGGCCCGGACACCCACGTTAATCTAAAAAAAAAAAAAACAAATGCTTATGATATGTAACATATCCTTTCAATTTTTTTTCCTTTTTTCCTTTTTTTTTTTATAAATTGGACATGGGTTTGAAAATGATCGGAGAGGAGATTGAGATGCAATTGAATCATTATGAGCCTAACTCATGGAAATATGAAATAAAGTTAACTAATACTCATGCATTGCTTGTCCGTTCAGCACAAATTTTGTAAATTGAGCTTTATTTTATTTTATTATTATTTAGAGACTAACATGCAACCTTATAAAAATTTAAAATTTTTAGGGCTCCGCCCCCACTTTTCCCTCTATCTTATTGTTATATGATAATTTTAAAATTCGATCCCATCTAATAAATAAACTCGGGGTTGAATATATGCTAGTTGAAAAACAATAGAGAAAAAAAAAATTCAATGTCTTCTTATTGATATGATGAGTTAATTTAATGACTCTACAAGAACTTATTAAAAATTTAGTTATAATTTATTAATTTTTTTAAACTAAAACAATATCATTTTAATTTAAAAAAATTAATTCTAATAATATAATTAAAACTTTAAACCTGAATTTTAGACTGGCGGACTATTATACCGAATCTAAAACTATGTTATAAAGATTTTGGTTTAGCTAAGATTTACTTGATAGTTTATTTTATTAAATATAATTCATATCATATTCATTATTTAAAATAAAAAGGTTTTTATATTTTTTTCAAACATAATTTCTATTTAAAATACTGTCATAATAATAAAAAAAAAACAAATTTTGGTTTTTGATGTATAGTTAAATATTAGATTATTGATTGGCGTTGAATTCTTTTTAAATATTGTTAAATTAAGAAGTTTTAAACATTAAAAAATAAAATTAAACGTCGTTATCATCAGCAAGAAATTTTTTATTATTATAAACTCAAGATATCAACAGTAATTTTTTTTTTCAAAATTCTTTTTAACATTTATTGACATGCAACATTTTAATTGAGAACTCAAGATCTTTGTCTCCTATTATCATCAAAACTGGTGTTAATAACTTTTTTAACATTAATTTTTAAAAAATAACAATATAATAATTTTAATATAAATTTATTAAAAAAACATAAGATTAATCTAATGCTGGAAAACGTTTTTTATAGTGTCATTGAATTTAGTCCAGTATATTAATCTACAAATATCTTAACTCAACACCTTCTCTATCTTAAAGTTTAAATTAAACTTTGTAGGTATATTAATCTAGAAATATCTTAACTCAACACCTTCTCTATCTTAAAGTTTAAATTAAACTTTGTAGGAGTTAATTCTACGAGATTCAAATAATCCAATCAAAATCAGATTGATTTAAAAACTTAAGGTATAATAATTTTTTAATATTAAAATAACAATATTTTATATTGATTTAAGTAATACAAGCTAATTTATTAAATTTTTATCTCTTATTATGCATCTAGTTGGGTTTAATAATTTTTTAAAACTAGTTTTTAAACTCTCACATGAAAGTCGTTAGATAAATTTAAGACCTTAATTAATCAATTTTCCAACCCCAAAACATATAGAAAACAATTCAATTTTTTTTTCACTTAAATAAAAAATTTTTTCATGACTACTAAACTTTTTTTTATAAAAATAAAAATAAAAATAAAAATAAAAGTAAAAATAAAAATAAAAATAAAAATGATTTTTTAAATGTATTTTTTTAATTTCTTATGAAAAAAAGAATATAAAAGAAAGAAAAGTTAAGCCTATGTACCATGACGTCATTTTCTTAAAATACAAGTCATAACTTTTTTTAGATATTGAGAATTTAATGTATAAGTTACTCCATGAATAATAATTTTAAATTTAAAAAATGTGGTAATTATAGATATGGCAAGCTAGATCCTTTAAAATATTTTATATAAGAAAATATATATTTTTAAGTCTAAGACTTTAACCAATTTAAGATAAAACAAATTTCCCAAAACATAGCTTTAATTTGTTTTTAGTCCATTTTCATATTATTATTATTATTTCAAAAAGAACATAAAAAATAATTATTTTAAAAGTTAAAATTATAGTTACTAAGACACATATTTTACTAGACAAAGACATGTAACCAACTCAACTAAAATAATTCACGTGAATCCAATTCTTTACTCTTTATATAAGGTGAATCCAATTCTTTACTCTTTATATAAACAATAAAGAAGATATCTCTATTTCTTTATTTTTTTTTAAAAAAGGAATGCTTTATTATGTTTTTTTTTATTTTGATTAAATTTTTTTAGTATTTTTATTTATAATTTTTCTTTCAATATTATATTGATTTTAAATTAGTCTTTATAATTTATTTTGATTTATTTTTTATGAGATTATCTCAACATTATACAATATAATATTAATTTTTTAAAATTAAATCATATTTTTACGGATCATATGAGTTACTTTTAAACCAGTTAAATAAATTGGATCATATCAAAGTAATTCATATGCAAATAAATTTGAAAACCATGATAAATAAGGAGATGAATCAAGAAGTTTCAAAGTTGGCCAGCTAGGTTGAGACCAATTTTTTTTCTTTTGTTTTTTTAAATTTAATCTTTTAATTTTTTTTTTACAATTGAATCATTTGTTATTTTTTTAAAATTTTATTATTCAATATTTGATTAATTTTTGAATTGGTCTTCACAATTTATTTCGATTTATTTTTTATGATGTTATTATAATGTCGAACAAATGTTCTGTTATTTAATTAAAGTTGAATTTTAAAAATATTTATTTTTGTTATTATATTATTAAATAAAAATTAGTTTTTTTATATAAAAAAATTATTAAATCTAATAAAGTTTATCATCCTTTTTAGTATTTTTATTTTTAATTTTTCTTTCAATATTATATTGATTTTGAATTAGTCTTTATAATTTATTTTGATTTATTTTTTATAAGATTATCTCAATATTATATAATATAATACTAATTTTTTAAAATCAAATCATATTTTTATCGATTTACTTTTAAACTAGTTAAATAAATTGGATCATATCAAAGTAATTCATATGCAAATAAATTTGAAAAACATGATAAATAAGGAGATGAATCAAGAAGTTTCAAAGTTGGCTAGCTAGGTCGAGACCATTTTTTTTTTTAAATTTAATCTTTCAATTTTTTTCTTACAATTAAATCATTTGTTATTTTTTTCTTTTAATTTTATGATTTAATATTTGATTAATTTTTTAATTGGTCTTCACAATTTGTTTCGATTTACTTTTTATGGTATTATTGTAATCTCGAACAAATGTTGTGTTATTTAATTAAAGTTGAATTTTACAAATTTTTATTTTTATTATCATATTATTAAATAAAAATTAGTTTTATATATATAAAAAAATTATTAAACTTGATAAAGTTCACAATTGTAACTATTGACGTTATAAAACTTGAGTTAATCAAATATTTTATAATCTCAATAATAAAATAAAACAAACTCATCTTTTTTTTCTTCAGATCAAACCATATTTTTAACTTTTAACTATCATTTTATTTACTTCTAGACTCACTAAATCAATTATATTATATCAAGAGTCAAACAACTCTTACCAGAGTTAATATTAAACTTGAGCTAGGTAATAAATTACATCAGGAGATTTTCATGTCGGTTCCCACCTTGGCAGTCGTGAGGAAGAGAAAGAGAAAGACAACTCATTTGATTGATGTAATCACATAAAGAATTTGAACTATCAACACAGGAAGTTACTGCTAAAATCCCACAGCCAGCTTCGGCCAAGTCAAGACAATAAGATTGGAAGGCACCAGACACCATAGTCCTTGTCCACGCATGATGATAAAACAGAGAAATTTCCCTCCTCTGCAATGATTCGAGCCTCTTAATAATAATATTAAAAATAAAAGGTTTTCCATGTTTTTATAAATAAAAATAAAATTTTAAAATAAAAAATATTTTAAAAAAACAATTACCATCACAATTCTAACCTTACCGACCAGTTTAATCAGGAAAGCTTGAAAATTGACTGTTGCCGTGAAGCCACCAGACAAGCGAGTCCCTGTCCATAAGCAAAAAGGGTACTTATCATGGTGCCTAAGTTAGATGTGTGCATATCCACATCCAAAGCATTCAGCTCTCTCTCACTTCCTCTCCCTCTCTCGATGGCAGCTGAAACAGCTTCCCTTCTTCCATCCCAAGCATGTCCTAGTCAACCTAGCAAGATAACAAGCATCAAAACGTTAGCTGAATCTGCTGGTCTCACCTCCATCCCCGCCACCTACACCTTCACTCCTGATCTCCATGACCAATTAACTTGTGTCCCAGAAGGCTCCATTCCTGTCATAGATTACTCTCTTCTTCTTTCTGGCACTCCCGATCAACGGTCTAAAATAGTTCATGAACTTGGCAGAGCCTGTCAGGACTGGGGCTTCTTCATGGTATATCTCATCTCTTTTCATGTAGCAAGTAAAGCTCTTCATGTTATAGAAATTTGATCTTTGATGGCTTGACGTGATGTCGAATGACTCTCTCAGCAGCTTTTGAGGACTGAACTGGTTGACAAGTGCATGCCATGCTCTGTATTTTGTAAAAAAATACAAGTAAAAGAAAAACATAGCAAGAGAACTAGGTTTTTTTTCCTTTGATTTATAACGTAAAAGAAACTTTCAGCCTTCATATTTCTTAATTATTAGGTGATCAATCATGGGGTGCCGGAGAACCTTCTCAGCTCGAT